GTCTATGTTCAGTTTTTTTTTGGGGATCCAATCATTTTTGGAAAGTTTAGTCAACAACATGATAATAATCATAGGAGATGTTAGGCAGGGAAGATTAGCTGATTTAATGCAAAAATGCGGATAGACCTGAAAACTCTTGGTACAAACGGGGGCGGTTGTTTGGAGTAGTTTGGCCCGCATTTCTCTGCTGGTGTGCCAAATGGCCCTGGTGTTTTTCTTCTGTCTGAGGCGCTTTGGACTTCTTGGACTATGTGTACAAAGTCTTTGGTTTCAAGGCGAGAGTCTTTACCTAACCTGCCGGAGATCATGGGTTCAAGCCGGCCGGAAAACCCATGGGAAAAGCCCATGGAAAATTCACACATTTGAATCCAATGGTTTACTGCATGTTGTTATCTTATCCCCTCCAGATGGCCCCATCAAAGGTATTTAATGGTGAGCCATCCGAAAAAAGTATGTCAACGACCAACAACCCAAACATGGCTGAAGAATCTAAGAACTCCACAAAGAAACTGGGGGGTTTATCGGAGTTTATCGACACAAAAACGAGTGATGTTGATCCCAAAAGCAAGGCCAGCTATGCTTTATCTACGAGGCCCAAAAAGGCGCCTAGTGGTCCAGTGCCTAGTGGTCGGGAGTGGCAGGGATGATCATAGTTCGATACGTTTCCAAGAGCGTTTCCAAGAAACAGCTTATCCAAGATCTAGCAACTTTACGGAAAGATGTCATACTGTATACATTCATGTACATATTATTTGATTATTTGATGTATACATATATTTGATATAATATATATATACATAAATATAATATGCACATAAATAAGAACATATGTATGGTCAGATATACAAAGTCACATCAATGACGCAATATTAGTGGTGTACTTCATATATACCCATCACGTAGATGTCAACCAAGTCTGTACTGCATCCTTGGCCCGTTGTGAGATGCTGCAGGAACCCCCCATGGTTGATAGGTTGTTTTGTTTTTTTACTATTGTTTCAACCATAAATTATTTCCTTCAATCTATTGACCTTGACATTTGGTAAACAATATGTCTTTAGATATCCACAAGAAAAGAACACATCAAATATAACCATAATATCGATCCATTGTCCATTGTATATTCGGCAACCTTTTAGCGATCTCAGTGCGACGTCACTAGGATTGGGGAACTCTCCCAAAACAGCAAATCCATAATGGGATAGTTCCCAATGGTTAAAGTGGGATTGTACCATTGTTCACTAGGAATGGGTGTTTGATCCCAATTCCTTTTTTAACCATGGTTTCTTGTACTCTAGGTGTTTACATTGGAATGGGATGGAGGAGCAGTGAAGCAATGGTTTTCCCCTTTGTGCAGGCGTTGGGCTCCAAAGAGATTTGGGACAACGCAGAAATCCAGTTGAAGGCGCCGTTGAAAGAGCTGCGGAATTATATAGGGGAAATGAATGATGATGCGGTGGCAACAAAACCATGCGGTTAACAGATATTGCAACTTGCAACAATTATTTCATTGGATCAACAAACATGTGACTTTCACCCAGAGACTAGTCACTAGTTGTTAATCACAAGCCATTGGGCCATTGTCATCAACAGTGTTTGGTGCCTCCCATGGGACTGGTTCCACTGGTTCCATTGTCATATGATCTGTTGAAGGATCTAAGGCAAGCCATGATTTCCAGTCACCGATTTCAGTCAACCCAGCATTGACAACATATAACAATGCTCCACACCTGATCTGATAACCCCATGAACCATGAAAATTATATAAAACAATGTTGTAATTTTGTTTTGCTTATTTTGAGAAGACTGGGAGCATAACACTGACAATATATATATATATGGGTTAGTCTGAAAATAGCGTAGCCCTCCAATGGATTTCCCTATCGATGGCCATTCAGGGATAATTATCCCCATGTGTCACGACCAGTCATCCTCCGCCTGCTACGTAAGCCCCACGGTCCCTACGGTCCCATGCCGGTCCCGACGGTCTTACGTAGGCAGCCCTGGATCAATCTGGTCGCGAATGGTCCTTGAACCCTGGCGATGGCGCCTTTTATGGTGTCTGGGATTTGGATGGTCCGGGATGGTTTGTGGCAACGCAAACAAATCCCCGGGAAAAAAACCCGGCCTGGTAAACGTTTACCAGTTCGCGAACTGGAAAATGGCCATTGAAATAGTGAGTTTTCCCATTAAGAATGGTGATTTTCCATAGTTATGTTAGTTTACCAGAGGGTATTTGTCCTGTAAGTTCATGTGAGGTTTCAAACACATCCGGAACAAAAAAATGGACTTGAATTGAAACCAGGAAATACCTGGTATTTACAGGAACTCCTGCCTAATATTCTCCATTGTTCCTTCAAGTTTTCCCTAAAAACAATTCTGGGACACACGCCCACGAACACTGATTGCGCGGCGAATCATCCTGATTGACAGGAGAATCCATTCAAGAAGCCCCGGGAAGATCGAGATTTGCCAAGAAGAACACTGGTATGAAGCGACAAGACTGAGGAATTCCCTCTTCCAGTACATCTAAAGATAAGATTTTTCAACCACCACAAAAAGTGAACAAAAATCAGGATCTGGCTGGTGGTTTTCCAATATTTGTTCTGTTCAATCAATCAACCCTAGAAATGAGATGATGATCCCAACAGACACTTGCACATTCAGGGAGGTGTTGTAGGGCAATTGACTAGATCCCTCCGAATACGACTGTAGCAATGGTAGAGTATTGGTTTACATCCATTCATCATCATTCATCATGTCTTGATTAATTATATGCAACTTCCAATATATGACATGGATATACATGGATAATGATCCAAAAAAATGGCGATCTTCCTGCGCCGAGGTCCTAAGATCGATATCAGGCCGGTGCCGTCTTATGGAGATTGATCTAAAACCAGGGCTGAAAACAGAACATGTCCCACTTAACACATGAGAATAGCATGATCATGAGCCTTGAAAACGATAGAAAAGTCGTTTACCACTCTGCTTTGTAGGATTTTACTTTTCTATTTGGTTGGGTGGGGTGCTAGGATCATTTTGGCATGGTAAACCTTGACGCGGCAGCGCTGGCGAGGCAAACCACAGAAACAGATTTGTTTGGACATGAGGAGGAGCAAACAAACGATAGTGATAATTCATGATTTTTCTTGTTCAACAATAGTTGATCTATAGAAACATTGGTGATCATGGGGATTCCCAAAATAAGGCTATCCGCAAATCATCCAAGTCATTTATGATCATTCAAGTGGTAAACCCAATGCCCAAAATCACCATAAACGGCTGGTACATAGTGTTATTGACAATATAAAACCATCCCCAGTCATGGTAGTTGTTTATTGTCAGCCACGGTTTCTCACATTAGACAACTACTGGTTGGTGGTTTGGAACATTTTTTTTCCATAATATATGGGATAATCCTTCCCATTGACTTTCATATTTTTTAAGATGGTTGAAAGCACCAACCAGTAGATATTCACCATCATTAAATCACCATTAATCACCAGTAATCACCAGATTTTATGTTAATCACCAGATTACTATTTCAACCTATGGTGACTTGGGGACCCCCCATGACTCACCTAACAAGGCGCGGATTCACGGCGCGGATTCGAGGCTCCAGGATGCCATGAAGCGAAAGCATCAGTGTGGCACGTGCCATGGCAGGTCCATAGCAACCCCAAGACTATGGGGTATATCATGGGATGATTATGGGGTATAATTTGGCTAGTTGGTGGTTTGGAACATGACTGGAATATTTTTCCCATATATTGGGAATTTCATCATCCCAACTGTTACTCACTCCATCATTTTTCAGAGGGGTAGGTCAACCACCAACCAGTTGGTGATTATGGATTATAAGGTCCATAGCACCCCCAAAAAGATGTGGAAAAGTTGGATACACCGGTTGCCATATCGAACTAGCATCCTAGAAACACGAAACTCTATTTTTTCTTGGGTGTTGTTTAAAAAACCCAAGACATAGACGACAAATGAATGGTTATAGACAATAATACATGTTGATACTACTAAGTCACCAACATGTGTTGGCAGATTTGGGGGTTGTTATCACACTTTGTCTACTACATGATCACTATTCACAATGATCTGGGTGTGTCTGAAAGTGTTGTGTACCCCCATTTGTTTAATAGGGAAACTCATCATAATCCATCAGAATTTGGCAATCGTATATACTGTATATATATAGTATAGGTATATATGTATATATATGTGTATATACATATATATATATGTATACATATATATATATATACATATTTAAATACATATACCTACAAAATCCACAGGTGACTTTTTTCAGCCCACATGCTAATGGTCAAGAATTTTTGTTCAATTCCTTCAGATTGGACATCTTGATGCAAAATTGACCATTTGGAGTTTGCCAATGAAACTTTGAAAGGGGGTTAGATCAACCCTTGGTCCACGCATCACCCTTTCCGCCCCCCAGCTTCCAACATTGGCTCAATTTCTTCAAACGCGGCTGGAGCGAGACTTCAAATCGTGCTGAAGTGGCCATGTTCAAATCTCAGAATGCTTCCGTTTCTTTTTCCACAATGTTTTCATCCTAATGCACACGCGGTCAAAAACTCGGTGGTTTACTGTTCTGGCACTCACCCGGCGGCTCAACCGAGCAACATGCCCTACCATATCTTCATTTGGTTCGCAAGAAAAAGCCAAAATATTCAAAATTTTGGGAGCTCCCGAACGCAATTGGTTTTCGATGTCCCCAGCAATGTGTCTCATAGAATGGAGTTTTGGTTTCAGCGAATAAGCTACCAGGTCCAACTTTGCAGATTCATGGGCTAGTCGTTTGTAACCTTTCAGCATGACCATCACATGGTGGAGCACTCACTTCCGAGACAACCACAAACCATGTGAGTACAGTATGCTGAAGAACACTTCCACAGATTGCAGCGTCTCCTTGATGATCTTGAAAAAAACAAGGTGACCCTCCTTCACCGAGCCGTTCTTGATAGCTACATTGACGAGAAACAGCAAAAGGATGTCAGCAGCATACAGTCGGAACCTTTGACATTTGCCCATGGAAAGCTGCGTTGGTTCGGGCTGTTGAACAAGGCCTGGGAAAAATAATGTAGGGCTGGGGATTTCCCGGAGGCCTGGCACCACAAACGAAAATGGGAGTGGCAGCGGTCAAGTCTGTCAGGCAAATTCTGGGTATCATCCTCGTCAAAATCATAATACCCCAGCAATGCAAGGGACACCAGAGTTGAGCCCACCAGGTCGCGGCCAACGCCTAGCTTCCAGCAGTGAAAACAATCGAACCGAAAGAGGGCTTCCTCCTGCCCATGTTGAAATGGTATTTGAACCAGCACGGGCTCGTGGTTCCAAGGCTTCTCACTAAACATAGTGTCTTGCCATCTTGGCAATGGGCCCAAGTCCTCGAACGGAAATCCAGGTGACCCGGCTAGACATAGCGAGCAAACAGGATTTTCGTTTGTAGTTCCAGTGTTCAGATATGTGCGGGTCAAGTGCCCCATCTGAAAGTGAAATTTGAGGTCTCCTTTCACCCCTAAAGTTGCGCAAAAATATTGTTCGGATCCCACACGAAACCCTTCAGAATGCAACGAAGCCAAATCCTCCGACACCATACCCATGGCTTGGTGGACCAAGTCAGGATGAGCTTTGTATTGTTGAGAAGCCATGCCAAACAGCAAGTATTTGGACAAGAAGCAGTTTCCACTCAGGTTTACCAGCTGTTTGGATGCTACTTCGCATTCCCTTCTAGAGAAGATATTGCCTTCATCATTGTGCACCTCAGGATATCGCTCCAGCACTGGGTCGGCCTCACAACAGCACTCTTTTAGCTTTGTAGGTGTAGACCCCAACATCATCTCTATGGTCGCAATGAGGTAGTTCCCTTTTTTCAAATACCGACCTTCGTCGCCATGAACTAAAATCGGCAATGTTCGTTTCAACTGCTCCGGTGGTGATTTGAAAATTTCGTGGTTGGGTTGGATGAACCTGTAATGGTTCCAGAACACTTGCAGCTCCTCTTCCATGTTGTTTTGAGGAAAGAGCAGCTCTGGATACTTTTTCAAAATCAATTGCAACCAAGAACCAGGCTTGACAACAGGGAGCTCAATAACAGATCCATCTTGAATTTCATATTTCAAAATTTCCCTTGGTACTTCTATGGCCATACCGGCCCGGTTCAGCATGCGAGTGATATTCCGTGTTGCGTTCCACTTGACCCGATCATCCGTTTTCGAGGCTGCACTTCCATGAACCTCTTCTCGACGAGCCTGAACTGATCGGGCAATGGAAGTGGCCGTGGCCTTGGCACGGGCTCCGGTTCTGACCCACCCAAACATATTCTATAGCAGTGCCTTGCAGATAGTTTCATAGGTCCCCTGTACTCAAAGCACGAAAGAATTCCCATGTTTGGTTTTCAAAGTTGAAATCACGTTGCGAGTTGGAATCTGGATTTTACTTGGAGCCCGGCACCCAGGCCCATTTCTTCTGCCCAGTGTTCCATCATCGGACCATTTTCAGCATTGTCAGGTTCGACACCTGGCAAAGTATTTATAGTGAACTTACAGGGAGTCCATCCCCCCAAGTAAAACAGAAAACTTATCTCACATTGGTTTTGAAACATTTTTCTCATCGGCCACTGGATTGTCAAAGAGCGACTTTGTATGCAAGTCAAATTGACCTTCACACATGTACTGTGACATGTGGAGCAAAAGAGAGAACCGTCGCACGTGGTCAGCTCGTGCATATGACTCTCAAAACCCCAAGTGTTCCAAGGCCTTTTCAAGCCTTTTTCTTTGCCGCAGCCTTCCCCACAGCCTTAGCCTGCGGCTTAGGTCTGGGCTTGCATTTTGGCCTTTTGTTGGGCGGTCCAGAATTTCGAGCTTCATCAGCGAGGCGCTTCTGGCGAAGTCGTTCAAAATCAGAGATGATCGACCTAACTGAGAACATTTGAATTCCACTACTGGTCCTGAGTGTGGGGCAACACCAATCATTGATCCAAGTACTAAGTGCGGGGCCTGACTCGTGGCTCCAAAAGGATGCTATCCACAGACCTTCGGCATGGAAACCCTGGAGTTTGTTAGGGATGTGATGGGGGCCACAAGTTTGAGATGAAAGAATTCTGCTCAGGGTGAAACAACTTCCTGGCGCTGAGCATGGTCTCCTTCATCTCATTTTCAATCCTGGGCGATGTGGCAGGGTCCTCTGGGGAGGTGTTGTGGGCACTGGGCAATGCTGGCACCCGCTAGCACAGCTGAGGAACTTCTCAGAACTTCCCTCAAGCAGCCCCCTACTGTAGAGATCGTTCAGGGTGTCCAGCTGGCTGCTCAAGAGATTCTTGATGTTGACGATCTTTTCCAGCATCCTTATACCCCATCAAAACAGGTGATTGGTTTGAACACATGGACCATCCAAAGGACAGAGTTGAAGGGGTTGACAGCAAACGTTGTCCATTAAAATTGGACCCAAGGGTCTTATTCATGAGGTCCGTTCGACTAGGTGCTGCAACATCTGTGATCTTCCCTGCCATTTCCTCCAATTTGTTCAACCTCTTTTGAATGGTGGCAATGACCTTTGTTGCCAAAGATGACGGGGTAGCTTTGGATTCAACATCGGGAAAACCTGTTTGCCTCAAAGCCTTCACGATGTCCGTGTTCACAGCAGCAACCGGGGTCATGGGAACGGCCCCATGAGCGGCCGAATCATCCAAATCACCTCAGCTGTCAATAGATGCAGTCTATGGGGTAGATGTTCTGTATTACATGGAAGATATATGGAAGATATATCTATATATATATATATATATAGCCAATTCCTGGAAGAGTGTATGGGATGAAAATATATTCATTAAATTAAATTAAATATAATAGAATATATCTTTGATATAGTATATATATATTATGTATATTATATTTACACAGCTATTGGGGAGAGTACGGTGTATTGCAATATGGCTTTAGTGTTGGGAAAAAAAACAGGTCAAACCAAGAGAAACATCTTTCCAGATTCTTTTTCACACTGAGTCATGGAAAGACATGTGTCAAACTTTGAAGCAGGTTGCGCAAAGCCTCAGTGGGATTGGCCAACGATGTGCCCAGTGTCCTAAGGTCATCCTTGTCCTTCGCCTTCTCGTCCCACTGCAGCTCCTTCTCGAGGAGATTGCGGCGGATATGCCTGTGGGATTAAAGATTTCGAATTGGTTCAAAACGATTGAAGCACTGGTAATTTGAAGATGGTTCAGCTATCGGGCCTCTCATTGCCTTTGATGGCAACTTCGACCCAATACATGTCACCGCCACCGTACTTTGACTTCCTGCCAAATCTGTGGCTGGGGCATTGGTTTCAAATTGAAAGTTTGGAGCCACATCTAGTGGCCACGTCGTATGTGCAGTTCCACTTTTTTCTAAGTATGTCTTGGTCAGCGAAGCATCTTGCTTGCAGAACTCCTTGATGCCATCGATTTTCGACCTTGTAGCAGCAGCACGACCCAAGGATCAAAGTAGACAATGTGACTCAATGTGGAAAAAGTCGACAAAAGATCCATTATTTTGTGGCAAATTTGTCTGATAAAATGTTTCCTTCAAGATGAGGAACTGCGAGTACCCTTTCTCCTCCATATCCCCTACAGTCAGGAACTGGTGTTCCACATCCAAGCACGATTCGTCAATCTCCTGCGTGATACGGCGACATCGCCGAATAAATTGTTCCTTAGAATCAGGGCGGAGCAGAAGCAGCAAGAATAGCAAGCTATGGGAAAGCACGCTCCCCTACCCAACATTCACTGTAAAACCGAGGACTAAAAATCAATCTAGTGTCGGGTTGGTAGTCGCACTTCTCAAATAAGATGTTGAGCTCGTCACGGGTGTCTAAATTTTTCCACTTGCGAACAAACTCTTCATCCACCAAATATGTCCCATCAGATCTCGGTGTGAAAATTCGGTTCATCCGTTTGTAGATCGCACCCTGGCTCAATTCTACCCCAGGCCTTTTGGTGGGTTTGGCGATCACGTATGGGGCAACCAACCTGTCGGCTCTCTGAGTGACGGGTTCATGTGGCTTTTCACCTTCAACCTCTAAAGCTTTGGCTACGGCATTCTCCTGGGTGACGGGTTCATGCGGCCCTTCATTTGGAAACTCTAGAGTTTTGGCTACGGCATCCTCCTTGGAGGGGTCGGCCCTGGCTTCAACCTCGGCCCCCTTCGAGGATGTATCCTCCATGGGAGAGTCATCATGATCACCATCCTTCGGCGGGGAATAGTACGGGGTACGTGCCTGATAAGTAAATGGAGTCTGGGCATCCTGTGGCACCTCAGAGAATTTCTCATCGTCATCCTGGACAAGAATTTGGTTTCAACATGATCATCCCCGGAATCGACAATATCAAGCCCCAGATAGAAAACAGATAATCTTGGATCAATCACATCATCTTTTCAGTAACTATTTATAATTTATTATCTTGTGGGTTGAGCCCTATCCCCAAAATCCTAACCCCTGTTGTCCTGGGTGGTATTAAATCTAAATCTTGGGACTGGGCAAATACAGTAGATAAAGAATCAACTTGAACCATTTTCTTTCACAACCATTCTGGCCTCCAAATCGATGAAGGAAGGTTTCTTGGGAAGTGGGGTTTCATCCACCTGGGTCTCCATGAAAGAACTCTCCTGACTGGCCCCCGAAGCTGGCACCGAGCTGTCAGCACCAGGACCAGAAGAATCAGGCGGCAAAGCTGGCGCAGGCTCCGCTCGTAGTGGTGGCGGTGGCGCTGAAGTCTGGTGGCAAAATGCATTTTCTTCAGCCTGTCAACGAATGATGGATTACCCAGTATTACCCCAGGAAAGTTAGATAATTTGAAGGGTACACCCATGAAAGTGGAATTCTGATAGAAGTAAAAATTTACAAGGCCCATAGGGGATGAAAACCAAAAATGCATCTGAGGGATCCCACAAGGGGCACGGGGTTCACATTCGCCCCTGCCTCAGAGTCACATTCGCCCCTACCCCAGCTAGGGTCACATTCGCCCCTACCTCACTCATATACCTTTTAGGGTTTAACCTAGGGGGGGACCTGGGGACCGGGGTTTAAGGGGGGGCAGGGGGGGACTTGGGGTCTGGGGTTAGGGGAACAGGAATCTATCTATCTATCTATCTTTCTATCTATCTATCTTTCTTTCTATCTAGCTATCTATCTATCTGGCTGGGGGTTAACCACCACCCCCAAGGACCAGGCACCTCCCGCTGGGGGGTTAACCACCACCCCCAAGGACCAGGGCTCCTCCCGCCAGGGGGTTGACCACCACCCCCAAGGACAACCTGAGCGGAGCAGTCGCTGATCGGGATGTCTATCTATCTATCTATCTATCTATCTATATATATATATACACATACATATACATATCTATCGATCTATCTATTTATCTATCTATCTATGGGGGTATGACCTATCTATCTATCTATCTACCTATCTATCTATCTATCTGTCTATCTTTCTACAACTAATGATGTTTCTATTACGCGATCAAAACAGTCAATGGGGTCTATGGAATGTTTTTCAACGGGAGATGACCTTGTGTGTACTACTATAGGTTCCTATTTCATAAAGTGGTCAGAAATTAAAGAGTTATTCTTAACTTCACACATTCCCCAAGATACCCTATGCCCCATTTCTCTATCTACCTTGGAACTTGCCAGACGCTCTGGATACTACGTAGGTAACTTCTTCTTGCAACTTGGCAGACACTCTGGATACTACGTAGTTAACTTCTTCTTGGACCTTGCCAGACGCTCTTGATGCTACGTAGGCAACTTCTTCGTGGCACTTGCCATACACTCTTGATGCTTCGTTCTTACTCTCTTCTTAGAACTTGCAAGACACTCTTAATGCTCTCGAGACTCTCTTCTGGCTGTGAACTGAACCTCAAATCTATTGCGCCTGCCACGCAAAACCAAGTCGGGTCACATTCGCCCCTGCCCTAGGGTCAGCTGCGCCCCTACCTCCCCCTTCAGTAGGGGCAAGCGCGACTCCAAGTGAGGTAGGGCCAAATGCGACCCCCATGCCTCCAACAAGTTATCATGGACATTGTGTCCATGTATTGCCAAGCCATGGATTCCCCAAAAACAAATTCCCTACATAGTATACATACTTCAACTTTCCCTTGTTCTTTAATCTTTTACACGGGCAGTATCTGGAATGATAAGGTGGCCGCTGTTTCTCACAATCCTGGGACTGGCTGTTGAATTGGTTGTAAACATAATGGGGTTACTTGACCGAACTTCAAATATCACAACATATTTTATACAAACATTCTTCCAAACACCCCCCAGGATTATCCCAAACTTCCCATACAACCTGTTGCAACTTATCCCCGAATCTTTGGTGGTATATTGGTTGAAAGGCTTTGGGGTACCCGAATTTGGGGGCCTCTAAAGCAGCCAATTCTGCTTCCATTGCCGCCACATCCGGCTCTCGGCAGGAACCCAAAGACATGGGTAAGGTCTCAACAAGGTTGAGGCCCCGCTGGAGGGTTTGGCAAGACCACGCCCGACTGGGTAGCTCTTGCATCTATCCCAACACTGAGCCCAAATACCGCTAGAACACTCAAGATGAAGAGTAACTCCACAAATGCGGTCCTAAAACCATGAAATCCCTTTCACAAAAATGATGTTTGGTGTTTTGAAAAAAGTTATAAAATCTCAATCCGGGTAGTTCCGCCCACTTCCCGCCGATTTCCGCCCATTTCCCGCCGATTTCCGCCCTGATTTTTTCACCCAAATTTGATCTCGGTACAAGAATTTTGTGCTATTGAATTATACCCACTCTTGGAAACTAGATTGTAGTGGGTAACAATGGCTTGTACTCAGCGGGAATTTTCAACCCCTTGCATCCCCTCAAATATTTATAAACACTTTTCAAATCCGCTTCATCCCACCAGTCGTCGAATTCCATCTCCTTGAAAATTTCCACAAAAGGGCGACTGGTGTCAACCTGGGGCAGGAAAGAGGATAGTATGGATAAATATATCCGAAAACAATATCACAGTAGGAGGGATTAAAACATAGGAAAGCAGTATGGCTAACATTAGTATGCAAGGGGCTTGTGGCAACCTAGCCTCGGGAAGGGCACCTGTTGATCTGAACATAGCAGGTAGGCACCGAACAATATGGCCCGCAAATTTTACGGGATACATCCTTAGTTCCACCAAACCATTTTCGATGAGCACAGTGGACTACCTAGTGCTGCCAAATTTGGAAATGCCTGAAACTTAGGTGGCGTTGTTTGGTTCCAAAAAAGTCACTGAGACATGCCGATTTTCCAACTTAGCCATTAGAGACAAGTTTCTGTGTACCCTTCAAAGTTTTCGAACCCTTGTAGGCCATGCGCCCATTGCGGTTTCGGTAGCGAACCACAGTTTTGGTTTTGGTGGGCCCGTGTTTTTTTGCGGACAGCTTCCCTTTATTGAAAGCCCCAATGATTCTGGAGGTTGACCACAGCACTGTCCTCTTCATATAGTCGTGTCCCCAGAAGGACATCCAGAAAGCCTGGCGGTAGACCTGGGCAGGGCGAACGGTGGCACCAAGAAAACTAATGTTTCAAATGGGAACCCATTTCTGGCTCTAAACATGTAGAAACCTTTTACATCCTTTCACTAAGGCACCTTAATCCCCAAAGAAGCAAGGGTTTCCAGCATCCATTGAAAACGGTCGTGAAGCCAAATCAATGAAGATCCGGGATTTTCTAGAACCATGTGGCCCCCAAGGCTCACGGTGACCATAATCACGAGGATACACCTTTCAGGGTGCAAGCCGAAATACAAAAAAAACAACGGATGCTGAGGGTAATTCTCCACCGTGCCCCACAGAAAAGAATCCCAAGCTTAAGTTCCCAAAGCCAGCCTTGCCACAAGCCGGTTTGCTAATTGAACACTGGGATATGGAGGGTGGCCATGCGGATTTAGATAATCCCGACGGCTTGTGCCAGAATTGAGGTGGATCCAGCTCGAACAGCATATGCCCCAAAAAACAACATGGGCGTTGTAGGATCCTTGCAGTGCCATGACCAATGCTGTCCTTAGAGCCCAAGAAACACTAATTTGTTTTAGAAAAATAGCGCCCCTCCAAAATCAATTGGTTGTCATATGTTGTCATGTTCCCTCTTATTTGATGGCTATCGAAAATGGGGTATACCCCATTTTCAGACACCTGCAACCGAGTTCGTCGCCTGAGGTGTGGCCACTCCCACAACCCACTTCCTCACAAGTTTGATATCCGTGCTTTGGCGAGCTAGGGAAGAGTAAGGTCAATGGGTTGATGGGTACCGGGTAGGTGAATGGGCCGAATGGCTTTGTGGCACTGGCGGGATTCAGTGGTTGCAAAACGACGCATTGCAATACCTTGTAAAAATGGATGCTGAAAATGGCCCCCCTTAATGGCGATACCTCAGCTAGAAGCTCTTGCAGGGTATCTAAGATTTGCCGTGGGGTCATGGATGCAGTTCCGCATATTTTTGAACTGATGGTTTGGGGAGAAGCAATTCCAATGGTTCAAAATCAGTGAGTGGATTTGCAGTCTTGCATACGATTACCTGCCTTTGCTGATTGTTCCTCATTTTGTCTCACATGTTTTTTCCTGAAAAAGGTCTAGTTGGTGCCGCAGAAAACACGTGAACAATACAGATCGTTGACCTTACCTTGGAAAAAGCAACACTTGGATGTGTTTGACAATGTGTTTACCTCTTAAACAAACAATGGGGAGCATGCTTATTATGTAATGGATTTCGGGGTAGCCGATTTTGCCATTTGCCGCAGACCGGTTCTCAGGCACCAAAGTAGTAGAGGTGGAGGAGGGAGTGGTGGGAGCACATGTGGCTTGCACCAGCGTGTGGAACTCCTTCAGCGGCCCCTCAGAATGAAACTGGGGTCATGAAATCTAGATGAAAGTGGATGATACAACCATTGGTTTGAAGTTGGGAAATGCAATCGCCAGTTCGAATTTTGTGATTTACTGGGTATCTATGGGTATCTAGGCTTGGCAATGTAAGAACGACACCATGAGGGGCAATACTCGGCACACAAGTTGTATCATTGTATCAAGTTGTATCCAGCTGTATCAAATTGTATCAAGTTGTATCGAGTTGGTGTTGTTGTTGTTGTTGCTGTTGCTGTTGCTGCGTGAGACATCAACCTGCAAAACGAAGTAGCAGTTAAGGCGAAATAAAAGGTGGTTGAATCGGAGGAACATAAAGCAAATGAAAGATGCAGTCTCAACGTTTATTTGAAACAACCAAATTCTAGAGCATTGGGGTGGATCTTGATAGGCTAGCACTAGCACCAGAAAGCAACCAGGAATAAACGATATGATGGAACAAGTTACTTGATCTTTCAAATGTGTTTGCTTTCCGTCCAGCAACAAATGAAAAGAAATGAAACCGTTCGACGTTTCTCGAATTGAGGGATGGGTTAAAACCGCCATTTTTGAGAATGTTGGCAACCCTCCCAAGGAATGGGTGCTATGGAAGTTAGACACAATCAGATGATCCAGTATGAAGTTTCTACCATGGGAATGTTATGGAATTAAACACTAATTTCTGGCAACGGAGGTGGCCCTGAGGCGCCCATATTAGTGGATGTTGAAACTAATCTAAATTCAAATAAATTCAAGGTTTAAAGAGGCATCTGAAAGGTACTGAAACATTGCAGAGTCTTTAATATAACCCCAATAGTTGGAGGGCTCCACGGCTTTCACTGTCCTTCAGGTTCCCCACTGATCGTGGATATGGACAGCAGTTTCACTGGCACTGAAGGTTACGCTGCCAGCAAGCACACCCTCTGAGATCTGCAGATCTCCTAGTTGCTGGATGGTTTGAGAGATGGGTTTGGATGGGTTTGGTACCTGAAAACGGGGGGAATAATAGGTATAACATAATACCACTAATAAATTGCCTTTTTTGGGGACAATGATGATTATAGTACTCAGTAGATTCCGGGATAACATCCTTGAATTTTCAGGTACCAAACTCGGACGGGTGTGGGTCAAATCATTGTTCAAAAAAAAAAATACCCTCTGGTTATTTAACATAGCCATGGAAAATTGCCCATTTATAGATGATTTTCCCATTAAAACCCTCATTTATAAGGGATTTTCCATGGCTATGTTAAATAACCAGAGGGTATATATAGATGGTATAAACATGTATAGACGGTGTAAATGGTGTTAGAGAGATATACATATAAAGTACGTTTTTTGTGACCTTTGGGGCGCTGTTTTGGGATGGCCTCACAGCGACCCTACAGAATTCGCAGGTGTCGGCCTGCTCATTCATAGTTCTCAAGATGCATGTCGTATGATACTCTATGATTGTGTATGTAATTATTATAACTATATAGATTATAATCTTGTCAGGGTGATTGTTTTCGTGTCTTGAACTTCAAAGATGTCAAAATGTCAGAAGTTAAGGTGGTTTTCACACCTTCACACCTTCAAACATCTCCCGGGCGGATGAAGCCGTTTTCCCATAGGCTGACCCGCAAATACCACATATATCCACTATCCCCATTGATCTTGCTTTCCCCATTGTTGTTGATTAAAGCCCAGTGCTGGTGAACCAAGGCTGCGGTCTTCCGGGCGAAGGAGACCACATCAGTTCAGCATCAGCAAGAGATTATTGGGGTGATAGTAAGCCCAATAATGTGGGTAAAACAATGCCATAAACCACCCACTTGGAATGGTTTATACCAGCTACAAAAATGCTGATTTGGGCGATGGTTTATGGCATTGTTTTACCCACATATGTGTTTTCCGATCTGTGGTAACTGTGGTAATTTGTTCAGCAGGTATATTTGTTCACAGCATCCCAGTTTAACTGGTAGTTTATTGTATTTAATAGTGTTTCATGTGGTGTTTACCTGCCCTTAATCTACCTACCAGTCCATGGGGGATGCCGTAAGATGCCATAAGGTGTTCATCCCTTCCAACCAGAAACAATTCCTGTGGGTTTTCACTGGTTCTGCAGGGTTTTTAAGGGCCTTTTTGTGGGGACAACAACCGATAGCCAAGGCAATTCTTCACTATCAAAGAATGTCGTGAAACACTTGTTTTATGACTTAGATATCTGAAAAACATATGATTGCGCTTGTGAAAAAAGACAGCGTCCCATGCAGAGAAAAAATAGGCATGACTTAGGCATGACTTCGTGGATACAGCGTTTACACTGGGAAATGCCCTTCAACGCCATGCATGACATTGTCTTTTCCCTGTATGTATGATTGATGATACTTAAGTCAATTATTTCACCAAGCAATCGAGTGGATTTATGGATGTTTATGGTGGATATATTCATAGCTACATGAGATAACATAAACCAACAACCTGTGGGGCTCCAGCTCCTGCCCAAGGAGCAGAAAAAGGAGCGCCCAGCGACACTGCGTGCATGGCACAGGACAGAAGTGGAAGACGTATCATGGGAAAATCGTGGAACGACATATTTATACAATTGGACTAAATTGGAGCACATGATCTATAAGTTTTTTTTCCATCTTGGGTTTTGTTCGATGGGGACATCGAATCATCTATGAACCTGATCAAAGGGTGCAATTGTCCATTGCCAGAATGGCTGAAGAGGAATCCCATGATACATACTACGAAATCCCGCTTTGGGCGTGCGGAAGCTTCATACATACCCATTCAATTTAGCAGTGTTCAAAACCCTTGCTGGCTGATGTTGTAAGGGGTTATAAGGGATCCAACATACCGCGGATGATCATGACCATTCTGGAAGTCCCTATCAACCAGTACACTGGAATGACAGTTGATCACGAACCACATGGCTGGTTTGACAGCATGTTTGCAGATGTTGCTGTTGCCATTTTCATCTCCAAGAAGGTACACAATGGATACCAAGGAGTGTTTCTGAAGGCTTGCTGCATGGAGTTCATAATTTTAGCAAACCCAGGAATTTGGGAGCTGATGTTATTTCATGTCAAAATTATGTTCGGTACATTTACTTTTTCAACACGGAATCCCAGCATGACTCCATGACCATATCTAAGTGTGCAAATTTATCATCTTCCAGACAATATAAAAATGGGGCCCATGACCCATATTAGATTTAGGGGTTGCATTCACTACACCACGGATATATTAACCAATGATATTCGTAATGTAAAAAAGCATGTGTGCATGCCCAGAGACTGGTGGCAGTTAGCCATACATTTTGTTTGGGGGAATTTGATGGATTTGTTTCAAACTGTTCAGGGCCTTAGTTGGCTTGGATGCTTATCTTTGATGTTCAGTTGCTTGGGACTTGGATGGGTTTCGATAGGTTCAACACAGGTCCAACAAACCACCAAGTAGATATGAGTCGCGCTTCCGATGGCCATTCTGAGTTGGGATTGCGCATAAAATGTTGCCCGGCCTCATTGTAAATGATGCTTCGGAAGGAACACAGGCCGCAAGAAAATGGCTTTAGGATGTTTCAAGGGTAGACTGGTGGGATCGGCATTCCCGTTTCATGGTTTAACACTGGGCATTTTAGCACCATCAAATGGCGGAGGGAATATAACTTAGCCAAGTTTTATTTTGTTTATGGTTTCAAACATGTTTCAAATATCATATCGATCTATTTAATCCTACCTTGGATGAAGCACAATGCATGACGCGACCAGATCATATTCTGTACAGATCAAAACGGGCCTGTTCAACAGACAGAATGGTGAGAGTGATGGTTATTGTATGACCCGAGAGAGGGGCCCCTTCAAATTTCAGTCAGTATAAGCATTGAATCATTGAAGGTGGTATGTTGAAGCATCCAAAAAGGGGGTGACTGAGGAAGTCAGCCCATCTCTTTCTGTTCCAGGGCGGCTAGCGGTCTACAACGGAAGGTTTAAGGATAATGTGTAGTAGCAACGTCCCTTGATATTTTCCTTTTTGAAAGTCTTGAATGATACTATGTACTAATATAGAATGTATACTAGTATACTAACATAGAATTATTTATTGTATGTTATTTGTAGTTAATCAAGATAATATCAGATATACCAGTGGAGGATTGGCGACGGCG